AAAACCCCCCCCCCCCCCCTTTGCGGTTTTTGTATTATAATGACATTATTCATTGGTACCACCTGTCTAAGACGATCACTTTCCCCTTGAAAATTTGTGGCCGTCTCGGACAGGTTCAACTGGTTTAGGACAAGAAACAAACAGGAAAAAAAGGTGGTCAGTTTAAAAAAAAAAAAGGAAAGGAAAAATGATCACTGTACTCATCTCTGGTACAACTTTGGAACAATTCTGTTTTCTTACCAATCTGGCACATGAGATAGTTCAACTCTTGACTGAACAAAGAGGGCAAAAGCAATTTCACAGATATCAAAAGCAAACGCCCACGACAGAAATGCAAGCCAGCCTTTCGTGTTATCATCATCATCATCATCATCATCATCCTCATCATCATCATCATCATCATCATCATCATCATCATCATCATCATCATCATCATTTCCATTGTTTAAAAAGCACAGTAGGCAGGCAGAGTCTTGATAGATTTGCAGACAAAAATATAGTATATGGGTTATTCCCAGACATAGGCCTACTGATCTCACACCAATACTGTTCTCGTACCAACACATCACATTATTATCACCTACAGACGGGCTTTTCCAACTCACCTCAAGAGGAGCTGCTAGCGCTTTCATAGCGCTTGGTCCTAGGCCATGGTATCTCAGCTTAAGGTGTTCGTCTTGCATGTGTTTCATGAAGTATCTGGAGAAAACATACAAAAGAAATCAATCGCTGTGAAACATAATTAAGCATCTGAATAATGAAATTCTAAATTGCAAATTCTAAATCGCAACAAACAAACAAGCAAACAAACAAACAGACAGACAGACAAACAAACAAACAAACAAACAAACAATAACAAAAAAACCAACCAACAAACAAACAAACAAACAATAACTAAAAAAACAACAAACAAACAAACAAACAATAACTAAAAAACCAACCAACAAACAAACAAACAAACAAGTAAGCAAAAAAACCCCACCAAAAAAAACCTACAAATAGACAAGTTAATTCATCTGATAACGGAGAAAAGAGACATGATAGACAAAAAAACAAAAAAAATGATGGAATAAGTAGGAACAACCAATGGCAACCTCCTTTTAAAGCCAAAGCGTGCCTTACGCAAACCATGCTTGTGGAATAACAATTTTAATTAAGTCTCAGAACTAGCTGAGAAGGCCTAGTCTCAGAACTATTCACCGCTCTATCGACGAATGAAGTGGAAGGAGGCGCTTGGGTGGACATGGGGAATGGATGAATGAACAGGGGTAGAATGTGATGGCAAACATTGCTGAAGTTATGGTGCCATAATGAATGGTAGGAATTTAGGTGATTGCATAGAGGCATATCAACCCACTGTTGGGTATAGAGAACGAATGGCGTTCATATGACCTTTTGCAGTTGCGAGCGCCGTAAACCTCTACTAAAACAAAAGAGAACGAATGAACATAAGATTACAAATCAAGCATGGCATACATGTTTGTAAAGGATTTAGACGCGGATTGAGCATAAATGCTAACCATACGTTTTCAAACTGGTGGGTTTTATTTGGCAGACATAATAATTTCAGTTTCGCAGTTCCCTCTTAGCTGAAACGTATCTTCAACTGTTGTCTCTCTTTTCACCATAATATTCTGCATCACGAAACGTTTGCACCCACCACAATGGATGATAAAATGAGCCGATACGTTGGCACATATGTTATTAGGTAGCAGGTACAAGTATAGAAGGGTGCATGAAGCATGTGCAAATGGAGAGAGAGGGTAGGCACTGGGTTGAACAGGTACGTAATATTTTTAGTCCACAAACTGCCTAACTTTAGTCACTGATTCATACGCAATTTAATATTTTTCTTATTAATAACCCGTCGGCTGACTGACTGGCTGTTGTACTGATTCACCGACTAATTCGCTCGTTCAACCCCCCCCCCCCCCCCACACACACACAGAGAGTTTTAGCTTTTAATAATAGTTTTATGGCGCTTGCATCACAAAATAGTCTCTATAAGTGCCGAAGACGAAAGGTGTTAGTAGAGAATAAAAATACAGAGAAAAGAAGGAGGAGAGGATAGGACGATAAATCTTTGATAGAGAAAAAGGAGCAAACCACATCACAGCACCTGTTAACCACCCAAGAAAGAACTTTTAACCCACTGGATAATTTAGATTACCTGATTGGCTGTAGGCCGAGCTCCTTGCAGGCCTTGAGGTACTTGGCCATGCCGGTGGTGTCATGGTCGTACTTCTCAGGGTGCAGGTACTCTGGGAAAAGGGGGGGGGGTAATAATTGAAGATGTGTAGGAAGAAAATTTGCGAGGTGTGCTGACAAAATGAGTTACTTCTCGGATTCTAGTCTTATGAAAATTGATACATGAACTTTATTGGTGGAGTTTGTACAATTTCTTAGTATGAAATAATAAACGACATGGTAGATTTACACAAAATGACATCAACAGAAAAATCTATCAATCTGATCCCAGTGTCCATTTTTGGAAGAGATTTCCATTCATGGATTTCGAGAAATAACTCATTTTGTCGGCACATCTCACATTTATTAAATTGAAACGGAAAGGGAACAGGTTGTTTGCTTGCCTGAAGGTAGACTCTTTGTCTTTCAGGACAAAGTAGCCGATCTGATTCAATAAGGAACATCACATGCCTATGGTAGATTTGATTGCGTATCTATTATTCTGGGAAAAAAGGAAAAAATCAACCCAACTCATTCAGAGCTGGGTCTCGCATGTATGTTGGGCAAGTCACAGACATACCAGTTGAAAGTTAAAGAAGAGTTGCCCACCGTATTCCTACCCCCCCCCCCCCCCACACACACACACTTTCCACACTCCACACTCCACACCACCAAACACCATCAAACGGCAGAAGCTTTTGTCTGTAAAGAAATACGAGTATCTTTCAGTTTGGTGGGAATTCATTCTGAACTTGCCCTGGTAACAGTCGAAGTCTACTCTTATAGATTTCAGGACCACCAAGGGATCTTTAAGGTGCACAACTGGCAAACGGGACCTCCGTGATTATTTTGCCCTTATCCGAGATGACCAGGTGTTAGATTTTTACCTACCCTAAGATCACGCGTAGGCGGAAAGAAGAAGCCAAGGAATAGCAGAAGAAAGGCTGCAGAAAGAGTCATGAGCCCAGAGGAGGGGGCAAGGGGATGGGCGCGGGGGAGGAAGGTGGAAAGTGGAGACGAAAGCAGACGACAGAACAAAGCTAAAGTTAGAGAGCGGGAAAAGAGGTGAGTGAAAGGAGAAAATTTATTTTTAGAGAGAAAATTTTTTCGTCGCTGTCATGATTCGAACTCAGGATCTACTGAAGTAGAGGCGAACACCATAACCCCTAGACCACGAGAGTCCCCAGATAACAGTTATAGGAAAAAAATAAAAATAAAAAATAAAAAATAACCGCCGCTCACTGTCATCATTCATGTCCAGATCCGTGTCGTAATCAGAATCTCGCAATTCGTGAACAGATTCATCCTCGTCATCAGAACTGTCGCTCTGAGACACGTCCCAGCCTTCCATGGAGTTGTTGTCGTCGTTGTTTTCATCTTCCTCCTCCTCCTCCTCCTCCTCCTCCTCCAACACGTCGTCGTAGAGAGACTCATTCCTGCGGCGACTGTCGACGATACTGATGGTGTCGTCTCCCGTGTCGTCGCCCGTGTCGTAGCCTCTCTCTGACGGCTCCAGGTATCGGCCCTCGGAGTACACGCTGTCGTGAGAGAACTGGCTGTGGTGGGTGCCCGAGCCCGCCTGTGGAGAGACAGATTGTGTGCACTTTGGGAGGTAAAAGTACTGCACCCCATCACCCAAAAATAGATAAATAAATAAATAAGTAAATAAATAAATAAATAAATAAATAAATAAATAGATGATAAAAATAAAAAAGAAAGAAAGACAGAAAGAACCACGTAAGTAAATGAATAAAATGATCAGATAAATAAATAAATAAGCAAACAAACAAATAAATAATTAAATGAATAAATCCATCCATCCATCCATCCATCCATCCACCCATCCATCCATCCATCCATCCATCCATCCATCCATTCACCAATCAATCAATCAATCAATCAATCAATCAATCAATCAAATCGAATTCTTAGAAAATAAAAATAAATCCCCCAATGTATTCGCACACCACGATTACCATGGCTTACTGTTTCCTGCTCAGACACAATAAGCTGTGTCACCAAAATATTTTTCTTAAAGATTCTCTTGACGCAACTGACTGGTACAGTTATAAACACTTTTCTATTCTATCCCTAAATGCCGCCCATTGGGTGCACTCACAGGATCACTTCAACTACAATGCTTGATTTTCAGCAGCCTGGCCAACAGATTGCTCGTTTTGAGAAGACAACACCACCCTGCCTCCACATTTCAGTGTACTCCTGTAGATTTCCTCCCAAGACTGTCCAGACATCTCCACGTGCCCCACGAAAAGTACTCACCCGGTTTAACTGTTAGACCGTGTTTCACAGGCGTGCGTTAAAGTGTGGTATTGATTAAAATAGGTAAACCTTTTGAAGTTTAAGGTGTAGATCTATGCTGGAAAGCCCCCATATTACATTCCTTTGCGCTTTATAACAAATACTATCTATTACTATTATTACTAATACTTATAGGCAAAGTATTGATGCAGACAGACTCACCCTGGTGCTACGTTCCCGTGTCCCTTCCTGCACGTCCGAAAAGGCCGTGTCCTGGGTGGGACTGGAGCCGGACACAGAACCCTCGCTCTCCGCTTGGGTAATCAACACTCTTTTCCGACCTTCCATGCTCGCCTCAAGCTCGGCAATATCACGGGCTTTGATAAGAATCCAATGTTCTCTAACCCTATGATATCACGGGCGTCGATGAGAAGACAAAGTTCTCTAACTCTATAATATCACGGGCTTTGATAAGAATCCAAAGTTCTCTAACTGTGATATCAGGGGGCGTTGATAAAAACTCAAAGTTCTCTAACCATGTGATATCACGGGGATCGATGAGAAGACAACGTTCTCTGTGATATCACGGGCGTCGATAAGAAGACAACATTCTCTGTGATATCACGGGCGTCGATAAAAAGACAACGTTCTCTGTGATATTACGGGCGTCGATAAGAAGACAACGTTCTCTGTGATATCACGGGCGTCGATAAAAAGACAACGTTCTCTGTGATATCACGGGCTTCGATAAAAAGACAACGTTCTCTGTGATATCACGGCGTCAATAAGAAGACAACGTTCTCTGTGATATCACGGGCGTTGATAAGAACCCAAAGTTCTCTAACTCTGTGATATCACGGACGTTGATGAGAAGACCCAGTTCTCTAACTCTGTGATATCACGGGCGTCGACGAGAAGACAGAAGTTAATAAGCAAACTTTTACAGCCCGTTCGCCATGATTAATTCATTGAGGACGCGCGTTCTTCGGGCTTAAAGACACGCTGTTTCGAGGGACACATGGAAAAATTAATAACTTTGTTTTTCATGCAAATTTTTCAATTCTGTTTTGCTCATCGGAAGCTTTAAAAGGCAGGCAACAATATGAGTGCTATGGAATATGCAAATTCGTGTTTCTGATTTGTGTATAGCCGCAACATTGCTTTTGATCTGCTGCTGATAGGACTAACGTGCTCTCTATGTCCTTAAGAGTTAAACGTTATTTACAGAGTTGAGACCCTGGTTTGTTTGTATAACTGAGTCCGAAAAGGCTGTGTCTCAGTCGTTTTCTTTGACTTCATTTTTGTTCAAACACTGAACTAAAGAGGGGTGGATTTGAAGAAAAAAAAAAGAAACCTTTAATTGCAGATCTTTCCACAAGGAAAATGCAAAAGGAAAAAAAAGGAACGTTGGAAAAAAGGTACGTATTACGTTATAAATATACATTAAACCTACTGCATGCGAACTGTTACTGGGTTGGGTTTTGAAGAGTTAGTTGTTTTCTTTTTTAAATGTTACACGCACTTGAAACAGTATCCTATTCCGAAGTTCAACCTACTCTGAAATATGTAATGGGTCTGACATCTTTTTGGATTTGTTGAGAATTAGTTTGAGAATCTGCAGTGAAACAGAGGAGGGTTATCTGTTCTTTATTTATTTGAATATTTTGAAAACACCATTAATTATTATAACTACTGTTTCTTCCCTTTAGCTTTCACGTTGTTGTAATGCACAATTGAGGAAAAGACAACGCTTATGAATTATTGAAAAAAATATGTATTCAATTTTCATATCTTCGAATATATTTATACCTCAAGCAATTCAATTATTGAAAACAACACACAACCTTCTTATTCTAGTAAAAACTGTTTGGGAAACCCTTGAAACGCTTCTTCCTGGATATCCAATCGTTGATGTCAATCACATTGAACATTTGCACAGAAACGAGTTTTGCTCCGATAAGCACCGGGCAGGAACTGCATTATCGACTAAGGACGGTGTCTTTGGCTTCGTTCGTTGAGCGAGAAATATTTATAGCTCTCGAAAGATACACCGCCTCATCAGCTGTCCACAGAAAAAGGGCACACTGAACTCCTCATTATATTATTCTCCTCCAAGATCACCCAGACTATAGCATAATAAACTAGGGCAGTCAGTTCGTTAGATCGCTCGATCGTTACTTAATACTTGTGGAACTGCGACCACGCATTGTAAACCGTTTGGACAAGACGTTGATGTATATATATATTATGCTATAAATTCTCTCTCTCTCTCTCTCTCTCTCTCTCTCTCTCTCTCTCTCTCTCTCTGTGTGTGTCTCTCTGTCTGTCTCTCTCTCTCCTCTCACTCACTAATGCTATACATTCTATGTCTATCTCTCTCTCTCTCTCTCTAACTCTCTCTATCTCACTTACCAAT